CATCTCAAGTGGGTGCCGCCGGGATGCTGCCTCGCGGGGCGGCGGGGAGACCGGGGAGCAGGGGGGGCAGTGCCCGGCTGAGTCGGCGGCCCGAATTCCTTCCTTTTTTCCGAGCCCTTGGGCACAGGGTCTCTGGTTTGGGGGTGGGGGACGCGTTTTCAGCCCCAGCGTTTTTCTCGTTTAGAAAATTCACGGAGCGTTTCCCCAGGATGATGGCTTGTGCTGACCCTACGACTCAGTAGTTGCCTTTTTAAGTGTGTTACTGATTCATCCTCTTTCTCTCCCTCTGTCATCACAGGTTTAAACTTATACGAATCATTCTCTAGAGGAGGGGACGGACCGCCGCGCGATTGACACGCATATTCCTATAGGCATCCTCCGTCAGCCCCCACCCCCACGGCCGGATTCGGGTGGCTCCTCTCCGAGCTGAAATCCGAGAAGAAATCCTTGGATCTCTTGTTTTCTTTAAAAAAGAAAAAAAAAATCCAGAAGCTGTCGGTGTTTTTGTTGTACTGCTTCCTATTCGCAAGATGAAGAAGTTTTTCGACTCCCGGCGAGAGCAGGGCGGCTCTGGCCTGGGCTCCGGCTCCAGCGGAGGAGGGGGCAGCTCGTCGGGCCTGGGCAGTGGCTACATCGGCAGGGTCTTTGGCATTGGGCGGCAGCAGGTCACGGTGGACGAGGTGTTGGCGGAAGGTACGGTGGTGGGACTGCGTGCGCCTCAATGAAAATCTTGCGCTGATGCAGCAAGATTCTGTTTTTCCAGTTGTTGCCTGTATGAATGGGTTTTACCAGGTGACCCTCCCTTCCTCATTCCCTAGCCCTGTGTGTGAATCATTGCCCTTGAGAAATTTAAAACTGAGCGTTGAGAGTGACAGGGTTTATGGGGGTAGGGGGAGGTTGCCGGACATTGTTTACTTCAGTGGCCTTTTCGTTTATTTATTTTTTTTAAAACATTGACAAAACAAATCTTGTTTGTCTCACTGAATTATGAGGATCAGACGAGAAAACCTACGTGTGAAAGTGGGAAGCTTCACATCAGGGGAGGGTGGTGGGCTTGTCATCCTGCTAAAACTTGAAATAATGGATGTGAGGGTTGAAGAGAGGGTTTTTTCCTTCTCTCTCTTCTGCCCAACTTTCCCAGTGCCATGAGCTGAGGCTCTTGGTGGGTTTGACAAGGTTTCCTGACCCAACTGTAATCAGGTCCCCAGGATGTAGGTGAGATAACAGAAATTACATGCAATGAATGTAGTTATTTTGAGACCAGTCAGCAGGCCCTTCCTTCAGTTTTAGGTTAAAAACATTTATTTTTTTAATGTCTAAAGAATTATTTGAGAGGGGCATCTTATTTTTGCTTTTCCTCTATTGGAGATGTTATTTAGATCTGCTGTGTTTGCTGTGTAAATTCCGTATCTATATCTAAATCTATGTCTTTATTCCCCAGGCTTCTGGAAATCTTTGTATGTCTCTTTTGGTAACCTTAACCTCGACCTTCATAATTATGCCAGACTCATACCCTTTACAGCCCATTGCCTGCTTAGTGTGCTTTTATTTTTAATAAAAGCAGCAATTTCTTTGGCACACAGCTATTCAAACTAATTGGATAGGGCCAACCTGCTATAGGATGTGTTATCTGCTGAGAAGGGATGGGGGATGGTAGAGGCCTCTGTTACTGCAACATGGTGGTGGTGGGGGACCTGTTTAACTGGGGAAGGAGCCTTTTTGCAAGCTAAGCTGGAAGCAGGAGTTCCAACCCAGCCCTGGGAAATGCCTGTCAGGGTCAGTGTTGCAGAGGGGTGGGTTGGGAGGAGGAAGGAGCTGTGTTTGGCTCTCAGCTTGTCTAAGCAGTAGATTCAGCTGGGCCCAGTTTTCTGGGGTTAGGCTTGAAGCCTTACTTTAAAAACACCGTTTTAAAAAGGTCTGACAACGTCCTTGTGAAATTGTTGCTCTTTTCCATTTTCAGTGCTGCTCTGGCTGTACTTAATCTGGGGCCTGAGTCACTGTCCCTCTGGATCTTTCCTTGTGGGTTTTGGTGCAGGATGGGAGATGCTTCTGTGCCCGCTGCCAGATCTGCACCCTGAAGTCTGATCTGGCTCTTCCATCCCTGTGCCAAAGCCCTTGACCGCAGGGGGATGGAGGAAAGGAGGAGTATGTGAAAGACAAATTGGGAGGAATGATGGGGTGCAGGGCTCTCCTTCTCTCAGAATGGCCTCTGCTGACCCACGAGCATTTTGTTCAGCTCCCATATTGTCTCATTGCAGACGGTGCTACCCTCAGCAGTGCCTGTTCTCAGATTCTGAGTGACGGGAAAGAGAAAAGGAAAAATTGGTCTTTATTGTCAAGTCTGCCCTTCCCTCCCCAGAATTCATCCCTGAGAACTGCACATCAGGCATTATATTTTAAAGTGGAACTTAGGGCTTGCAGTTCTGCATTCATTCATTCATTTGTTCATTCGGCAAACAATTGAGTGTCTATGATGTGCCAGGCACTGTGCCAGGCTCTGGGGATGTGATATAGAACTAGATGCTGGAGTTTATAAACTCCAGCTTTGAGAGATGGAAAATAGCCAATTAGAATGGAGTTAAACTTAGGGTGGCCCCCAATTTTAGAGAACCAAGAATTGTTTTCTGCAGGAAGTAACTGACTGAAGAATGAGTAGGAGTTAGCCAGGTGTGGTGACATCATGGACACAGACTCAGAGTGACAAGAGAGAGAGTGTCTCATTTAAAACCAGGTCTGGCAATGCTGCCCTCTTTATGTTCTTTGACTAGAATTGAGTTTGAATTTGTGGCTCTTAGATGTATGTGGCTATGTGGGAGCCAGTATACAAAGTATTTGTGTAGCACCTACCACTAGATTCAGAGAGTATGGATATAAGAAGATCTAAAGTGTAATGTTTGCTTCTAAGGAGCTGTCAGTGAATTTGGGAACACAAGGCAAACATTCACACATACCATAGTTTAGTTACCAGCACTGTAGAGTCAGGCATATCTAGGTTCAAATTCTGGATGTGTTCTTTACTGGCGTGAAACCTTGGATAAGACGTTTAAACCTCTCTTGAATCTCTGTTTGCCTATGGGCAGTTCTTAAAGCATGGAGCCTGGGTCAAGAGTGTTAGCATTACCTGGGAGCTTATAAGAAATGCAAATTCTCAGGCCCACTCCATAAGCCATGAGTGTAGGGATTTAACAAGTTCCTGTAGTGATTCTGATGCAAGCTAAAGTTTGATAACCACTGTCCTATGAAGTGGTCTTGAAGATTACATGAGGCATTGTATGTAAATTATTTAACTTCTTTTCCCCCAGGTGTTCAATAAATGGTAGCCTCTAATTACCAGCAACATTGCATCATAAAGGGGGTTGGGGGTGGCAATGTGAAGGCTAGTTTGGCTAAAGCAGTCTTCAGGAATTACCCGCCCCCCCCCCCCCCATTGTGGGTGGACAGAATCAGGTGTACTTTGCAGTTAGCTCCTCAAAGGGTCAACAGATGTTTTGGGTAGCCATACTCATTCCTGGACCCTCTTCTGTTTGAGATATCAAGTGCTGACCTGGACACCAGACCAGCCAGAATTGTCTGAGGTTGATGAGAGTTGTGCATCAAGTGTCCAGGGCAGTGGTTAGGAAGTTCAGGGACTTATTACCACCACATCCCACTGATCATCCCTTTTCCCCTAATGTGGGTCAGTACTGGTCTATGCCTTATAGTAAGGAATTGCAAGCACCCCAAGGAGGGTGTGTTGGAGCAGTGGTTCTCAACCTTCCTAATGCCGCGACCCTTTAATACAGTTCCTCATGTTGTGGTGACCCCCAACCATAAAATTATTTTCGTTGCTACGTCATAACTGTAATTTTGCTACTGTTATAAATCATCATGTAAATATCTGATATGCAGGATGTATTTTCATTGTTACAAATTGAACATAAAGCATATGATTAATCACAAAAACAATATGTAATTATATATGTGTTTTCCGATGGTCTTAGGCGACCCCTGTGAAAGGGTCGTTTGACCCCCAAAGGGGTCGTGACCCACAGGTTGAGAACCGTTGTGTTAGAGGCAGGCAGGAGAATGCCTGGCCTGTCATCTCTCCATCAGCTGCAGCAGCCCCGCTTGCCTAGTTGCACTAACTAGTCTAGTGGGGGCTTATTTATCTTGGGAACTGAAGATAATTTCTTGGGAATTTATCTAAGTCATGAGTTCAGAGGGATTTGGTTATCTCTAGGATGGGTTTTGGGGAGGATATTTTCTTTCTAGCTTCCTCAGCAAAGATGCCACAACGAGATGTGAGATCATGACTGATGTAATGGGCATGTGATGTCAAGGGAATATTTGGTTTAAGTTTCCAGAATGAGCTTAATGAAAATTGGAACAATGCTTAACGAAGAAATGAGAAGCTGTGCTTTTATCCACACCTCCTTAGCTATATGAGGCCTTATATCTAAGCTTTAAACCATAAATAAATGTTTGTTGAGTACCTCCTGTGTCCACAACAACATTCCAGAATGCTTTAGTTCTATATAAGGTGGCCAAGATGGCTCTTCAGAACAGTTTCTCACCTACATTAAAGGAACCCAGGTTTAGGGCTAATGAGAATTACTGAGTAAGTCTCCAAATCAGTAAACTTTGACAATTTCTCCTACCTACAGTGCAAGGTACTGAGTTTTTAAAATGTGTGTGAAACCACCTAAAGAAAATTAAGCATACTAGTACATAGATACATACATGGCATATATTTATAACATGTTGGCGGTGTCAATATATTGCATGCATGTATTCATTTAGTGTACATTCCTTAGTGCCTTCCTTGTGGCAGGCACTGTATTAGGTTCCAGAGCTGTATGATGAATGAGACTTAGGCTCAGCTCTTACGGAGCTCATAGACCAACAAATAACCCTAAGGTAAATGTCCAGCATTTAGCATGGCCTTTGGTGGATATTAGGGGGTAAAAAGATGTTAAGAGATGATAAAGAGAAATGGCTTGGGGTTGAGGATTTATAGGTGAGTGTAATTTGAACATGGAAATTGCCCAGAAGATGTTCCAGATGAGGGTTACTGAGGTCTTGCAAGCAGAGAGAATAACATATGCAAAAGTGTGCAATGGTGAAAGGGTATGATTTCCTGGAATACTGACTAGTGTTATAATTTTGGTCAGTACAAGTTTCCCTTCTAGAGTCAAGGGAAGAAGGACATGGAATGGTAGAAAGAAACTTTTTTTTTACAATTCCCTGGCTGTGCTTGCTGCTTGCTTTCTCCAGTGGCCCTGGGTCTTTTGAGTAACTATTGAATAGGTATCTAGTATGCACTGTTCTCCTCTGGGCCTCATCTAATTGTGGGGCAAGGAGTGGTCCTGAAGGTTCAAAGAAAAGCAGAAGATTGAAGCAGAAGCAGGCCGGGGAGTGAGATGACCACTGTTTCAGAAAGGAGTTGTCAGGGGGGAAAATGACAATGTTTGACCAGAGCAGAAGGTATGTTGGAGAGAGAAGAAAAGGAAATAAGGTTCTGGAGAGCTTCAGTTCCAGGCAGAGAGGTTAGTTAGAAGCATCTGAGGCCTTCTCGTGACGAAAACACCAATTTAATCCTTCCCACTTCAGATGTCTTTGCCTTGCTGGGGAGTCTGGTTTTTTTAGTGGCAACTGCAGATTTTCAGGGGGTGGTTTGTGAATGGTGTCTTCTTCCTGGCTTCAGGCATGATGAC